CTGCCCTAAACAGTGCCAACCACCACACACACCACTATAGGACCAACTATCACACACCCCCTACAGTGCCAACCACCTCACACCCCGAGAGCCACCACCACCCTACTGCCAATCCCTCCTGACGGTGTTTCCAGTTTTCAATTAAGCGCTCACCCTGTCACATACATGTTTCACACTATTACGCCCCCTAGTTGGCCTAACAAAAGCTGCTCTGTACACGCGACGCCCTATACTACCTTGGTGTGTACTCCCCACAGCCACCACACCCTTCACATAAGCTGTCATATAAATCCATGACACCTTGCAAATACTCCTTATATTGAGAACACCGTAGGGAGGGGGGCCACATTCACGAAGCACTTACGAACCTGTACATCTTTTCTCAATCTTGGGCGACTTTGTTGACAATTATTAAACAGTGAATGAGCTCCGAAGCACCAGGAGGCTGTTTATAACAATAACACTTGATTGGCAAGTTTTCATGCTTGTAAACTGTCTAATATATGTAACCAAAGCCGTCAAAGAGTGAGGAAAGACGTACAGGTTCGTAAGTACAGTACTCCCGTAACTGCTTCGTGAATCTAGCGCCTGGTCCTTGTTCTAACCAACGATGACAAACACGCTAATATAGCAGGCGTCGCTTCATTTAAAAACAAGGCAATTACAGGACGGGCACGAGGGAAGAATTAGGACTGGCGTAGTAAACAAAGATGGTTCCTGTGGTACATGATGCGGCGGATATGTGGCGATACGCGCGCGGGAGAGGCTCACGTGTGGCAACTAAATGACGCAACATTTGGCAAAACCTCCCACGAATTGTGGGGGGGGAGGGGGTGTGGGTGGCAGAGGGTGTGTGGGGGGGAGAGAGAGGGTGTGTATTCACCGAGTTGTGCTTGAAGGGGGTTGAGCTCTGGCTCTTTGGTCCCGACTCTCAACCGTCAACCTGGTGTACAGATTCCTGAGCCTACTGGGCTCTTATCATATCTACATATGAAACTGTGTATGGAGTCAGCCTCCCCCACATCACTTCCTAATGCATTCCATTTATTAACTACTCTGACACTGAAAAAGTTCTTTCTTATGTCTCTTGGTTCATCTGGCTACTAAGTTTCCACCTGTGTCCCCTTGTTCGTGTCCCACCCGTGGTAATGAGTTTGTCTTTGTCCACCTTGTGAATTCCTCTGAGCATTTTGTAGCTGGTTATCATGTCTCCCCTTACTCTTCTGTTTTCCAGGGACGTGAGGTTCAAGCCTTTCCTTGTAGCTCATAACTCAGTTCCGGGACGAGCCTGGTGGCATACCACTGAATCTACTCTAACTTTGCCTTGTGTTTAACTAGGTATGGACTCCAGGCTGGAGCTGCATACTCCAGGATTGGTCAGTTGTATTCACCTAGTTCTGCTTGCGGGGGTTGATCCCTACTCTTTCGGCCCGCCTCTCAACTGTCAATCAATCAACTGTTCAAACACTCAAACGACAAGGCCGACGAGTACTAATCAACTGGGTGCCAAGTCATGTGGGAATAATAGGAAATGACACTGCAGACGAAGCTGCAAAACTTGCAACTAAGAAGAAATGTAGACATTTACATACCACAGAGTCTATCACAGATTAAGAAAGTAATTCTAAACAGAACAATGCAAAAGATGTACAGTGACCACAACACAGCAGTTGCAACATCAGGATCTGCGGGTTGGTACAAGAATTCAACCAACTACGAACCACTTAGTTTGATGAAAGGCAGCAGTAGAGCAACAGAAGTGCACTTACATCGCATCAGGCTTGGATACCCATGTGCATGGGAAAGAGGCTTACAGGTTCCGGAAGATGAGAGGAAATGTCAACACTGTGGAGAAATGCCCGACAGACCACTGGAACATTATCTAACACAGTGCACAGTTACAAACCCATTAAGATTTCAACTTGGATTCAACAGAGCAGAAGAAGTTGTTAAACACATATGGCAAAATTGTTCCTGAAGCGACCATACGAGTCATAAATACTCATACTCCGCCCAAGTAAAACAGAAACAAGCACCACTTAGTGGGCCAGCCAGAGGCTTAGGGCCCACGCAGGAATATCCCTGCAAAAAAAAAAAAAAAAATCAACTGTTACTATTATCCCCCCCCCCTTCCCCCTAGGAAGCAGTCCGAAACAGCTGTCCAACTCCCAGGTACCTATTTACTGCTAGGCAACAGGAGCATCAGGATAAAAGAAACTGCCCATTTTGTTTCTGCCATAACCGGGGATCGAACGCGGACCCTAGGATTACGAGACCAGAGCGCTGTCCACTTATCTATCAGGCCCCCACAAGGCTCCTCAGCCTACAGAGGGTGCGGGGGGGGGGGGGGGGGAAGGAGTGGGAGCGGGGGGGGGGGGGAGAGGAGAGGGGGGGGGGGGGGGGAGATGAGAGAGGGGGAGAGGAGACCTGTGATGTAACGTGACGTTACCACCACAGGTGAATCCATCTCATTACTGGGACGAAGCAGCTGGCGGCGCCAAAACCTTCTCAAGAAGGGATGCTGCTGGAGATGGTGGTGGTGGGGGGGGGGGGGGGGGGGATTGTGAGGAGTCCAGTGACCTTACAATCACATGCGGAACCTGGCGACTGACTGCCTTACGCTGGCGACACCCGTGACGCAGCTAATGACGGAATGGCCTTGATAGGAAGAGATTCATGTACAAGTTTCAGTTCTGAGGGCGAGGATAATAGTGAGACTGGTGACCCAGGACACAGACATGTTGGCCTCACTCAACATAACCACCTGCTGTACTTGGACCACCAGCTGGACTAGGGCGAAATATTATACCCCCCCCCCCTCTCTCTCTCTCCCCCTCCTCCTCCCTCCTCCCCCCCTCCTCCTCCCTCTCTCTCACCCCCCCCCTCTCTATCCCCCTCCCCCTCTCTCTCCCCCCTCTCCCCTCCCCCTCTCCTCCTCTCTCCCCTCCTCTCTCCTCTCTCTCCTCTCTCCTCTCCTCCTCTCTCTCCTCCCTCTCTCTCTCTCTCTCTCTCTCTCTCCCCCTCTCTCCTCCTCTCTCTCCTCCTCTCTCTCTCCTCCTCTCTCTCCTCCTCTCTCCCCCTCCCTCTCTCTCCTCCCTCCTCTCCTCCTCCCTCTCCCTCCTCCTCCTCTCCTCTCTCTCCTCCTCTCCTCTCCCTCCTCCCTCTCCTCCTCTCCCTCCCCTCTCCTCTCTCTCTCTCTCTCCTCTCTCCCCCTCCTCTCTCCTCCTCTCTCTCCCTCTCTCCTCCTCTCTCTCCCTCTCTCCTCCTCTCTTTCCCTCTCTCCTCCTCTCTTTCCCCCCCCCCTCCTCCTCTCTCTCTCCCCCCTCCTCTCTCTCCCTCCCCCCCCCTCCCTCTGTCCGTCCTTGTTGACCTGGACTTTACACCCTGTGTGTACTGTATGTTGACAGAATCTTGCAAGTACCTGACATGGAATGTTTGCTGCTACTTAAGGAAGCATTTGAGTGAAATCCCGTGTTTAGTTTCACTTGAGAGTTGCAGGGTGACGGCAAGGCGTCTGTCCTGGACGGCTGCCTCAGAACCCAAACGGCGTCTTCCAGACAGCACTCTACACTAACGAGCACCAGTCGAATGTGCCAGTGCTGGGAGTGACTGCAATGACTCCAAAGTGTTGTTCACACCTATCTTGAGGTTATCTTGAGATGATTTCAGGGCTTTAGTGTCCCCGCGGCCCGGTCCTCTACCAGGCCTCCACCCCCAGGAAGCCGCCCGTGACAGCTGACTAACACCCAGGTACTTATTTTACTGCTAGGTAACAGGGGCATAGGGTGAAAGAAACTCTGCCCATTGTTTCTCGCCGGCGCCTAGAATCGAACCGGGACCACAGGATCACAAGTCCAGTGTGCTGTCCGCTCGGTCGACCAGCTCCGTATGTACACAGTGCTCCGACACCCTGCTTCTGTTAGAAGTAGCTTGACGAGGAACTCACTAGAGTGCGGTAGGTTTTTGTCCCGACGAAAGCTACTTTAACAGTCATGTGGAAGACATCATTAAAAAGGAAGGTGAATTTGCCATTCTATCCCCCCCCTCCATCAATGAAAGAGGTCTACTCTACAGAACCTGCCCCACCTATTAATCTCCTCTACAGAAGCTTCTTTCCAATGGCCTACAAGACGGGGAAAAGTCCTGAAAGATATAATAAAGAGAAACATAACCCCTTACAACACTTAAGATGATGATACAGCTCACCATATACCCGGAGAGTGTGAAGAGTACCAACTTGCTCGTAAACTTTCCCCCGACACCGGACAGAAAGCCTCGAGAGATGAATGCCGACTATTTCTTTACGCGCCCACTTGGAAACTCTCCGTTCCAGCAATTCCAATTAAAGTATATATTACTTTTAAGGCACTTGACAGTTCACAAACAACAAGGCACCATCACAGATTACATAATTTCTACATGCAAGACCATCGCCAGTAGCGACATTAAGTAAGTTTATAGTGATTGAGTTATCTATAATAATTTAAATTAATTTTTTAAACCTCACATGTAAAATATTTTACAATGTAATAAAACCTCAATTATGTAAAGTATTTCATTATCAATTAATACGATACGAACTGCTAGAAATTGATTCCCAACAATGCTAGTTGAAGTTTCCAGCTCGCACAAGACAGTATTCAAAAACACGATTTGTGCTCACCCTTGTACGTCCCTTATCAGGTCAGACCCAACACGTAACGGACGGGAAAATAAAAGTAAAATAACCCCCAACGAAAACAGGAACAAAAACGAATATTCAATAAACTTCATAAGAGACGGCGATGAGTCACAATAACGTGGCTGAAGAATGTTGACCAGACCACCCACTAGAAGGTGAAGGGACGACGACGTTTCAGTCCGTCCTGGACCATTCTCAAGTCGATTGAGACTTGATTGCCTTAAGAATAGTCCAGGACGGACCGAAACGTCGTCGTCCCTTCACCTTCTAGTGTGTGGTCTGGTCAACAGTCTTCATAAAAGGATTAAACTGTACTCACCCTGTTCTCATTCCTGAAGGTAACGAGGAGTTTGCCAGTTGTTCCATGATACATGGAAGTGGTGCCATCCCGATTATCATTAAAGCGGTAACCAGATGCAGGCATCTGCGTTACTAACGAGGCACAAAATTGTAACAGGTACTGACAGCCATGAAACGTGTAACATCGTTCCACGAGGCCCACCTGTAAAACAATAAGAAAAAACACTTGGATAAAAATACGTGCAAAGAGTACCTTAATTTGTGCTTTATAAAACATTTTAAGTAGTACACTAATTGCCAACTCTCATACCTTCAACATGACAGAGTAAGGTACACACAGAAATCACAATAATATGATGCATCAATGAACAAATCCACAAAGTTAAATGAGGATCAAGCCTGTTTAACCGAACCCCTCCAGCGTCTGGGATGCTCACAGACGTAGGTTCGAATCCTCGTCAAGGCCCTTGTGGATTTGTTTACAGAGTAAGGTGATATTATTGTCCTTCCCTTAGCTCAAAAACTCATTTTCAATGCAACTTTCCAAATCACCTTCAGATGTAGCGGTGTTGATCCCCGGACCCAATAGCAGGTAGGTACACGGCTCTGCCTCTCCTAACCATTACCATATATTTGACAATTAATACTACATCACGGTAAGCATCTACATAGTACTAAGCATCTACATAGTACTAAGCATCTACATAGTACTAAGCATCTACATAGTACTAAGAAATGGCTCAAGCAGCCTCTGGCTCTTAAATGGATGTAAATCTTGACCTATATATCGCCTTTATGCCTAATCTTTTAAATAAATATCTTCTTTATAATAAAATATTAAGGCCAAACAACGAGGATCGAACCTATTTAACCGAACCCTCCTCCCCCCCCCAGGCACACACACTACTGCACCATTGTTGGTCCACTCAGTCGTGTAGATGTTGTCAGGAGAAGGTGGCAAGTGATAGTGGCGAGTGGTAGTGGTGGTAGTGATAGTGGGGATTGGTAGTGGTGGTAGTGATAGTGGGGATTGGTAGTGGTGGTAGAGATAGTGGGGAGTGGTAGTGGTGGTAGAGATAGTGGGGAGTGGTAGTGGTGGTAGAGATAGTGGGGAGTGGTAGTGGTGGTAGAGATAGTGGGGAGTGGTAGTGGTGGTAGAGATAGTGGGGAGTGGTAGTGGTGGTAGTGATAGTGGGGATTGGTAGTGGTGGTAGAGATAGTGGGGAATGGTAGTGGTGGTAGCGATAATAGCAAGTGATAGTGGTGATAATGGCAAGTGATAGTGGTGAGGTGTAGTGACAGTCATGAGTGTGAGTGATAGTGGTAATAATTCATAGCATTAATGTTTGTGTTATTTTGTACATTTCCTGAAAGAAAAAAAATCACATTTACCACCAATCATTAAAACATTCGTAATGTGAGATACTCAAACAGGGAAAAAATGTTTTCCTGGTAAATACAGATTAACTGCATCTGGTGACATTACCCTCTATTGCCACCAAACAGTTGCTGCAGCTATCAGGCTCAAATTCCTTTCAAATGACAGACTTCTAAACAAATGTTTCAGAATGCAGACGATGAGTCACAATAACGTGGCTAAAGTATGTTGACCAGACCACACACTAGAAGGTGAAGGGACGACCACGTTTCGGTCCGTCCTGGACCATTCTCAATTGACTTGAGAATGGTCCAGGACGGACCGAAATGTCGTCGTCCCTTCACCTTCTAGTGTGTGGTCTGGTCAACAATGTTTCAGAATGTTCACACATTTTAAAACGCATTCAGTAAAAACTTTATGTAATGCATCATTTTGTCACCACTCAACCATAGCAGCATATCACAGACAAAGATTAAAATACTGAGTTTGTCTCCAATTTGTCTATTTCCCTCAGCATTTTATATGTAGTTCATCCTCCCTATCCTTTAAGGCTGTGCGATTGAGTTATTTTAACTCTCAAGCTGTGGGGTTTACATCCCACAAGGTTTGCAGTTAACTAGATTCAACATTGATGTTTATTAATAACTGGGTTACTGGATGTCAAATCAGCTGATGTATGGTTCATTAAGAGTCTCTGGAGTATAAGTGACCATGTCATAACAAATTCATCAGTCCCTCAATGCCTACAGAACTACACTGAGGAGTGCATGATGTCTGTCTCCACCTCGCAATGTTTTTGACTCCCAGCCAGGTACTTTCTTGAGGTTATCTTTAGCATACAAAATAGTCATAGACTATTTCGTAATATCAGTAATGGCAATAGGTTCTCCCTGAATGAACGTGTAAAAATGTAATTGCCTATATGAGGAGAGTGGTGCTCGAGGCACTGGGTGAGGGCACGCGAACTTGCCACCACTACCGCCACCCTCTTCTTCCCACCAACCTTGAGGTTACCTTGAGGTGATTCCGGGGCTTAGCGTCCCTGCGGCCCGGTCGTCGACCAGGCCTCCTTTAACCAAGCAGTTAAAATTTTAATGCATAATTTAAAAATACAATATTCGTACATTCATGCATGTACCGTCAATAATACAACTCACCAGAGCTGAACGAGTAGAATTAGTATTATTTGTTGTTGGCATACGGAATGGGAGTTTCTTTGGCCACCAAGTTGGTCTTGGGAGTTGGGCCCATGGCACTGGCCGTTCTTCTCCAAGACTACAACGCACTACAAACGGAACAAACTCCTCCAATTCCGCCTGAAACAGAATGAGAAAACATTTGAAAATATAAATATTACATACATTCATAAGCCTGACATCATTATAGGAAAAGGTATGAAGAATTTAAGTTATGCATGGCAAATGCAATTCAAAATTACATGAAAATTGTACATATATAATTACAGAACTGTGAATACTTTAAATCACAGGCATTGAAGGAAGGTATCACCTGGTCCCTATGCCAGTCAAGTACATAAATGGCATAAGTGAGACAAACTAACATTTGTAATAGTTAAATGGTGCCTACATTTCAAGAAGTATAGTGTAAGTAAGTTAGTTAAGATGCAAAGACATGCTATCAAATGGCTACAAAACCTAAGACGCTTGAGCTACGATTAGAAATTGGAGGCGTTAGAAATGTATAACCTACTGGGCAAAAAAAAAAAAAATTGTATGTGGTGACATGATCACCACATACAAATTTTATCACAAACTGACAAATCTGTAACAGCAAGACCAAGGGAAAGTACAGTATGCCAAAACTATCAGAAGCTAACAAATGTGGTATGACTTAAGATTATAGGGAAGCTGGAGCATCACACAAGTAGAGTTCTAACATCGTGTATAATGGTAATTATCCGTCATACACTTGGATAATTACTGTTCAGACATAGTACAATATGGACACAGCATTGTGAATGAATGCAAGTGTGTGGCGGTTGGGTAATGTTAGTGGGTACTGTGTGGCCGCAAGTGGGGGTGTGTGAGCAAACCGAGTGTCAGTAGGAAACTTGTATACATAGTGTTGAGCATCGGTGGTTACTGTGTGGATGAGGCGGGTGAGGGGAAGGGAACTATGAGAAGAATGTGCCAAGCCACTATGACTATATAGCACTTGGAAGGGATCAGGATAAGGATTTGGGATGGGACGGAGTAAGGAATGGTATCCAACCACTTGGACGGTCGGGAATTGAATGCAGACCTGCACGGAGCGAAATCTTCGCTCTACCGTCCAGTCCAAGTGGTTGGGCGAGAGAGGGGCGAGTACTGTGTGGATGAGTGGATAATGTGAATGAGCTTGGAGAGGTTTTTACCTGTAGCTAGTTTCAAAGGTTTGCTCTTGCAGCACAACTGGTGTTCAGCTTTTTCTTGTAATAACTTAGTAAGGTTGTTTGCTTGCAGTAGCCCATAAGCCTACATATCCATTACAACCTGGCCGGACTCGGCACTTCCAGCACTTGCTTATCCACGTCCCACATGCAAATTTCAACTTTTGTTCTCACAATATTTCTTAGAAGTGTTAAAAGGCTAAAAAGCCCTGAGCCTCTGATGTTTATACAGTTCTCTGATTATGCACATGCCACCTCTACTCTTCAATGGCTTTATTCTGCATTTCCTGCCATATCTTTTGCTCTAGTATATATATATTTTATTGTGCATATTTGGTACATGACCTTAATATACCTTCAATATATAAATTATGATAAGCATATATAACAATCTACACAAAAAACCTTGAAAGATGGTTAAGTAAGAACACAAAACACACGTGTCTACATGATGACCAACACGGGTTTACAGCAGGACACTCCTGCCTCTCGCACACGTTAGGACTACCGCCATGGCCTCGGATACCATACATGATAAGCAAAATGATAAGCATAGGTTTTGATAATTGTGTCCATGGTATAATTGCTCACAAAAACTGAGCAAACTGGCAAAGTCAAAAGATGGATCTATAATTTCTAAGAAACAAGACAAAAGAGTAATGACCAATAGAGTAAAATCTGGATCATCCACCCAAGAAAAACGTTATCTCCCAGGGTACAGTACGCTGGCTCCAGCAATCTTCTTCATTCTCCTAATCAACATCTCTTTTACAGATGACAATGAATTTTACAGAGAATGCAGCAAACCTTCAAAGTGGTATAAACAGAGTACTTCAGTTACAAAAATTAAAAGTTAATGTAGTTCCGTTCCTGCACCATACCTGGAGCATACGCGAGAGGGTTCCGAGACGAAATCACAATTGGACTACCACACACAGAACAGTCAAACCACACAAAGTAAAAGAAAGAAAAGGCAATGTAAGACACGGGAATAATCACATCAAAAGATCTTACCATTTAAAGAAAATAATGACGTAGCTGTCATAATTGCAAGAAAAAAGGATAGGCTGTATTACAAGAACTTTTCAAACCAGAGATGCCAAAAGCAATAATTGTACTTTTAAGACACTAGTATATTGCTATCTAAAGTGGAATATTATTGCAAATTAATTGCCAAATTCAAAGATGATGAAGTTGCTGACTTGGAGATCATAAAGGACTTTTACCGTTTAAATTCATAAAAAAAAAAATACAAACTAGTGACACTGCTTAATAAAATCTCTCAAGAACAACTCCCTGAAATGTAAGTGAGATACATAATAATTAACAAATTGATAAAAAAAAAAGTAGAGAATATGGTTTCATATCTGCACACTGAAATAATTTCTAAAGAGACCACGACACTGGCACAACATGTAAAGCCTCATTGAAAAGTAGTGGTGCAATAAGTACTCTTAAGAGTATTTTATTAACAATAAGGGCCCATGGCTTTTAACACCCTACCCCTAGAAAACACAGGACATAACTAGTCGACCTATTTTGCCATTCAAGGGGAAACTTGATAAACACCTTCAAAAGGTACCTGATCAAGCGAGATGCGATTCCTACATCAGACTGCGTGCAGCGGTGTCCAACAGCCTGGTTGACCCAAACCATCAACCAGGAGGCCTGATCAGAGACTGGGCAGCAGGGACATTGATCCACAGAACCACCTCAAGGTAAGGAAAGGCATAATTTTCCTCCCCCTGAACCTGCATTAATTCTAGGTCATGAATTCTATTTATCCAGATGTTCCACTCATCTATTTAACTTGCTGTCAGGGCATTGACCTGTAATTTAACACATCTTGTCAGACTTTTTTTTTTTGTGATTGGTATCATGTTTGTGCCCTTTTCCATATTTTTGACAGGTCTCCTGTGTGTGTGTGTGTCATTGTATACTGTTCTTTCATCAGTAGCTTGCACAGTATTCCTGGAGTAACCAGCATGTAATCTGAGCTGGCAACTGTCTTTGATACATTCAGATCTAAGAATGTAGAGGCTTAGTCGGCCTTTTCCAACTTTCACTCAAACATTTTCGGCATTTTCCACATTCATGGGATGAGATACCAGCTCAGATAATAAAAATATAACCCATTCATTTACTAAATCATTCGCAATATTTTGTGTCAAAGATAAACAAGCAACGTCACACACCAGTCATTCACAACATCCCCCCACCACTTTACAAGTCTAGGTGTACAGTGTTCCCCCATGAAATGCCATATGCTTTACAGTACGTATATTTAAACTGCTTCTACCAAGCCTTGTCCCATATCACATCTTTTGTGTTGCTCAATAGTGCTAGTGTCCACTGCATTGTGGAGTTGAAAGAGGGAGGCAGACCAGGATATACAAAGTGGAAGGAGAGTGATTAGAGATGAGTTAGCAATAGTAGGGTGAGGCCTTGCTTAGAAAAAGTACAATGGCAGAGAAAATTTGAGTAAAATACAATAAATAATATTATTGAATTTATTATCCCAGAAAAGACACACAAGCAGTTTTAATTCATCACACTAAAGTAAATGGAAGAGAAAAGCAATACAAGACCTGGATTCAATAGGAAATACAGGAAAGAGGAGAGGATCAGGAAAAATATGGAAAACGGACAAAAAACTCAGCATAGATGATAAGAGGGGCATTAAAGTTATAAATGAATAGAGTATACCAAAGTCAGAAGGGAAGCCAAGAGGTACAGAAATATGAAAACAGTGACAAGAACTAGAGACCAAGCAAAGCTGCCTTGCCATATAATTAGCACAATAATAACATACCACATGATCAGCCTAAGGAAACAAGATCACATTTTAAATAAGAGCAACAAAGGGAGTCTAGAGCAACAGTAGATGAAATAGTAGTACAGTACAGCAACTGAGGAAGTAAATCAACAGGATCCAGACCCAACAAAGAAGGACTAGACGTGATATCACCATAGATGCAGCAGTCAATACAAACACTCTGTCAACCCGCTAAAATTTTTTAATTAATACACAGGAGATCTCTCATAATCTGGGAAAAGGGAAAAGTAGTCTCAATATTCAAACCAGGGAACAGACAAGAGGTACAGTACTAAATTATAACCAATGTCACCTACATGCATTCCTTGCAAAGTGCACTAGTAACCAGGATGAGAATAAAGTATATGAAGGAGAGAAGTTTTGTAACGGAAGAGTTTTAGGGATATAGAGAAGTCATGCCTGACGAGTCTGATCACATTTAATGACAAGGTCACCAAAATATGCACTGCAGGCCGCTCCAAGCAACAACCTAGTGGCCCAACCCCCCACAAGTCAAGCCTAGCCTCGTGCCGGGCTTGGGGAGTAGAAGAACTCCCTGAACCCCATCAAGCAGGTATCAAGCAAGCAGGCATGACAAAAAAAAAGGTTGCCTCTTTCTAGATTACCAAAATATTAGAAAATATTTTTGTCCTGCACAAGTGGTCAACAAGTGGGCTGCATTAATAGTAGTACTGTAGTAGTAGTAGTAGTAGTAATGGAAAACAGCTCCATTCACAATTTCAAGAACAAATAACAAAATACCCAAACATCCGGGGGAAAAAAAAAGCACACCAGGTTACAAATGTTAGACAAAAACTATACTTCAATTCTTCACCCTCACACCGCATCACCAGTCTGCCCTTCAAACGCACTCAATCTCCCATAACTTGCCACACCTCATCACACAAACATAGCGTATTTTGTATTTTTATGAAAGGATAAGGATTTGTATTTTTTAGAATATTTCACAACACTGTATTGGAACATGTTTATCATAGAGGTCCAGGAATACCTTCCTTGATCAACTGTGATTAATATATATATATCCAAGAGTTAAATAAATTAATTTCTAATTCAAGGGAGCAAATTCCTATTTAGATATGTCATAAATGTTGAAAAAAAAGCTAGGTACTGTAATAAAAGTATACAAGATTTGAGAAAAATTTCAGTATTCTCTCAGTAGTTAATTTACACCAGTGTGCTGATAACCTATCAACATTTCAAAAAAAATAATACACACAATTTTTATATTCACTCACATTTCACATTCAACCTCCAGTCCTTATGATGTACTGCAGAGTACTTGTATCCATAGGAGCAAATTTCACCTACAAAATCCCCATTTTAAAAAAAAGCATACAACATGTACCTCTACACTTACCACACTCATTTCATGAAGCGATGAGGGGCTACCCCGGGAAAAAAGGAGGGGGAGGTTGGACACCATCACCCCAGAAGCAGAGTCTACATATTCTTGGTCGTCGGACTCCATTTCTATCGGCCGCAGGCTGAACTAGGAGAACACCCACTACTTTAAAATCATCGGATCGCTGTCCGTTTCTTCTTTTCCTTTCCTTGTAACAAGTGAGAGCCCCCATTAGGCAAGGTGGCTGCACAACACTTCCATGCTCCAATGCACTGGAAATATATGAAAATCATATTAGTAAATGTAAACTATACATATTATGTATTCACCTAGTTGTTCTTGCGGAGGTTGAGCTCTGCTCTTTCTCAACTGTCAATCAATTGTAACAAACTACTAATTTCCTCCCCCCCCACTCACACACATGCACAGGAAGCCACTCCGTAGCAGCTGTCTAACTCCCAGGTACCTATTTACTGCTAGGTAACAGGGTATATCAGGGTGAAAGAAACTTTGCCCATTTGTTTCTGCCTGGTCCGGGAATCGAACCCAGGCCACAGAATTACAAGTCCTGCGTTGTCTGCTCAGCTACCAGACCCGTGTGTGTATGTGCGTGTGTGTATGTATAATTACCTAAGTGTAATTAGGCAAGTGTAGTTACAGGATGAAAACTATGCTCATAGTGTCCCATCTTCCCAGTACTCTTTGTCTGTTTAACACTTTGAAACTGTTGATGGTTTTGGCCTCCATTACTTTCTCACTTAACTAGTTCCAACCATGTATGTATGGTGAGGAACTCTGAACAATCCTACAGGCTAGCCAAAATAGAGAGTTGGGTAAGGATATTCTAATAGAAACTAAATAGCTACCTAAGGAGAGGAAGATACTAAAGGATTGGAAAAGTACAAAGAGGAAATGAAACAAATGCATAAGCTGTAAAACAAATGATCAAAGCAATATGTTTGGAAGTCAAAAAACAGAAATAAACAGCACGAATCTAACATTAGATGGGCAACTAGGAAAGAACAGATTGCCAGCCGTAAATTAGTAAAAAACACTGTAAATAGAATTATGTCCATAATAATTTTTGGGTGTTGAGAAAAGGTAATACCATCTAGAATAAATATAGTAGAAGAGAAAAAAAAAAGAGGAGGATAGGCAAATATGAAAAAGATAAGAATAGTAATCTTTAAGTAATTTACAATCCTGCCAGCAAAGAATAGAAGACCCAAGCAAGAATACGATGACAACAATCAAGCATACTGTATGTATAGATAAACTACAGAAAAAGCACACAAACCGAGAGCTAAATTACTAGTCATGGAGGACCTAAATCATGGAGAATGATCGACTGGGAATCGAGAAATTGTGGAGAGCAAAATTGGTGGATGTTATGGAAAGAAACTTCTTAATGCAATGTGTAAAGGATGACAAGAGAAAGGGGAGGAGATACACCAAGCCTAATGGACCTGATCTTCCTCCAGAATGAGGAAGACAGGGAACTTAGATCATGAAATACCAGTAGGAACCAGTGTTCATTGTGTCAGTCTTTGATTATATGATCAAACTGAAAACAATGACCATAAGTACAAGGGACCATAAGTACAAGGGACCATAAGTCAGGGAAAATAACACAGACTACAGGAAAGATGATTTTACGTGAGGGTTAAAAAGAGTACAGTGTCTGGAAAATGTACAATGTGAGGAAGACCTTAGTTTCTTAATCTTTAAACCTTTGAAATAATTCTGGATATTATAATTCTTCTTTGGATAAGCACACATACGGATTTTATTGTCAATTGAAATGAGAGGATTTGTATTTGCGCCTGATACAGGTAAAATGAGAAAAATAAAACACAAATATGATTAAAAAATAAACTTACATATGATTAGAATTAGCCTACTTATCTCTATTTTTTCTTTTTTTTGCAGAACACCTAGTTACCTTGGGGGATCTGCGGAACCCCTGTTAAGAAACACAGTCTATCAGCATGTGCATTTCAACTCTGGATAACACCTTTGTTGACTTCCGTGTTGCACATCTGGGTGGTGCTGCCGTCCTCGGGGAATCGGCCAAGCCCCGTAGGAACGTACAGATCTGGACCACCATTATAATTTTGTCCCCGTTGCTTCAAACACACTTGGTGCCTGGGGTTAGTGTGCCACTAGTTTTTTTTTTTTTTTTTTAAGGATCTGGGTTCTAAGTTAATTGACATAATAAGAGACCTTGTGTTGAGAAAGTCTGTCTGTACAAATCTGGATGCCAGATGCTTGGGGCTAGCCACAACCTAATTTGTAGGGGTAATGTTCTGCAGTATGGGACAGACAAAAGTTGGTTGAGGTTGGCCCAAATTAAGTGCTTTAAGAAATATTAGCAATTATAAATACCCCTACACAATTTCATTGAGTCTTTCATGGAGTGAATTATGAAATATGCTGTAGTTAACATGGAGTTGTCTGTCATAACAATATAATTTCTTAATACCCATACAGTTGTTTTAGTGGTTCTTAGTAATATATTTTCTGAGAGGGGGGGGGGGGACAGGAATAATTTGGGATAGACAGATGAATACATAGGCGGACGGATGGACAGATACACACAGACATGGGGAATGAGCCTATGTACATCCAGTATGTAGACCAGATCTCCTGCAAATTTGGGTGAGTTTAGCCACATGCATCTGGCATCCTATAGAGAGAGAGAGAGAGACAGAGGCATTTTCTCTTATACATAGAGATTACTAGAATGGTATCCGGCAGTGTCTGGGACCCTGAATCAGTGTCACTCTGCCATGTTGCCCCAAGTCATACGGAATATAGGTGTATTTGTGACAAAACAGTGGCTGAAAGGTATGGCCAGCAAGGTCTGCTCTGCCAAAGCATAGGGTGATGCCACTCAAGACACAGGTTAATGATCATAATATGATTATAAGTGCTTGCATGTTTTGACTAGCTGCGTGGAGGTCTTTTACAAGTTTATAACAATAAACCAGTGCATTTGTATAACATTTGGGAGTTTCATAACACTGAGGCCCCTGGAGCTAAATAATTAGGCCTCTGCTTTGTAGGTTAGAGAAAAGTTGTGTTTTGAGGGAGAGAAAATGGCATTGGCGTGTCAGCAACCTGTGATTCGCAGAACTAATAAAACAATGGTTTGCGTGTTACATGATGTGATAGACCTATAAATATGACAATGATAAGGCTACATGAGATTTTCTTGGTTATTATATATTTGAACAATTTTATAAAACAAAAAGTAGACTTCCTATACAGAGAACAGGAAAACATTTGTTAAAATAATGTAAAACTGTTTATTATACTGAATTTTAATGTCTTTCAAAATATGTAAAGGCCAAAGTGCAATTCATTTCCCAAGAATTTCCTTGTCTATATTTACAGTTCTGAGTACGGTATTAATAAAATATACTGGTACTGTACTCTATATGTTCATAATAAAAAATAAACGCACGTGTGTGTGTGTGTGTGTGCTCACGTGCGGACACTGTGTGGGGTCTCGTAGCCGAGTGGACAGCGCTCTGGGGTCATAGTCCTAAGAGCCCGGGTTCGATCCCTAGCAGAAGCAGAAACAAATCACAGTTTCTTTCGCCCTGGTGCCCATGTTCATCTAGCAGTAAATAAGTACCTGGGAGTTAGACGGCTGCTACAGGCTGCTTCCTGGAAATGTACTCTCCTTGTTGTGTTTGCGGGGGTTGAGCTCTGGCTCTTTGGTCCTGCCTCTCAACTGTCAATCAACAGGTATACAGATTCCTGAGCCTATTGGGCTCTATCATATCTACACTTGAAACTATGTATGGAGTCAGCCTCCACCACATCACCTCCTAATGCAATCGATTTGTCAATCACTCTGACACTAAAAAAAGTTCTTTCTAATATCTCTGTGGCTCATTTGGGCGCTCAGTTTCCACCTGTGTCCCCTTGTGCGTGTGCCCCTTGTGTTAAATAGCCTGTCTTTATCTACCCTATCAATTCCCTTGAGAATCTTGAATGTGGTGATCATGTCCCCCCTAACTCTTCTGTCTTCCAGCAAATGTGTGTGTGTGTGTGCATGTTAAGAGAGAAATATATGTAGCAGACATATTAGAGGAAAAACAAATTGGTTAGAAAGGTGGGGTCCAAGAGCTAATACAGTATCTGGATTCTGCAGATACAAATATTAAATAGTAAGCACACACACACACACACAAAGAGCAGAAGCTCTGTGCCTGCCACTCTCCATGGTGTACAACAAATCACTGGTAATAGGTGAACTGCCAAAAATTTGGAAGACGGCTCATGTAGTCTCGATACTCAAGTAGGGTGAACTACAGGCCAGTGTCCCTAACTTGCATACCATGCATGATGGAGAAAATTGTGCGAAAAAAAGCTAGTGGAACATCTAGAGTGAAAGAACTTTGTAACGCAACATCAGCATGGGTTCAGGGATGGCAAATCATGACTTACAGAATTAATTTAATTCTATGACCAGGCAACAAAAATCAGGCAAGAGAGAGAGGGCTGGGCAGACTGCATATTTTTGTATTGCCAGAAAGCCTTTGACACAGTACCACATAAGAGACTAGTGCACAAACTGGAGATGCAGGGAAGAGTGAAAGGGAAGGTGTACCTAAGCAACAGAAGACAGCGCGTCACTGAGGTAGAGTCCGAGGTGCCAGTAGAGTCCCACAGGGATCAGTCCTTGGACCTATACCGTTTCTGATATATTTAAATGATCTCCCAGAGGGAATAGACTCGTTCCTTTCAATGTTTGCTGATGATGATGAGCAGAAGATTTTGCATTCCATGCAAGATGATGGAGAAGATTGTGGCAAAAAAAAAAAAAAATAGTAGAACATCTGGAACTAAAGAACTTTTGTAACATCAGCATGGGTTCAGAGATGGCAAATCATACCTAACAGGTTTAATTGAGTTCTATGACCAGGCAACAAAAATTAGGCAAGAGAGAGGGCTGGGTAGACTGCATATTTCTGGACTGCCAGAAAGCCTTTGACACAGTATCACATAAGAGACTGTACACAAACTGGAGATGCAGGCAAGAGTGAAAGGGAAAGTACTCCACTGGATAAGGGAGTACAAAAGCAACAGGACACAGCGAGTCACTGAGGGGTGAGGTCTCACTGGCGAGGAGTCACCAGTGGAGTCCCACAGGGGTCAGTTCTTGGACCTATACTGCTTCTGATATACGTAAATGATCTCCCAGAATGAATAGACTCGTTCCTCTCAATGTTTGCTGATGACGCAAAAATTATATCAAGACAGAGGAAGATAGTATGAGGCTATAAGATGACCTAGACAAATTGAAGGAATGGTCTAACAAATGACTACTAAAGTTCAACCCAAGTAAATGTAAGGTAACAAAACTAGGAGGAAATAGGTGGTCAGGCACTGGATACCGAATGGGAGATGAAGTCCTTCACGAAATGGACAGAGAGAAAGATCTCGATATCACACTAAACCTGTTTCCTGAAGCCCACATCAAAAGAATAACATCAGCAGCACACGTGAGGATAGCTAACATCAGAACTGCTTTCAGAAACCTGTGTAAGGAATCCTACAGAACCTTGTATACCACATATGTAAGGCCAATCCTGGAGTATGCGGCCCCAGCATGGAGCCCCGTACCTTGTCAAGCACACGACGAAGCTGGAAAAAGTTCAGAGGTATGCCACCAGACTAGTCCCAGAATTAAGAGGCACGAGTTATGAGGAAAGGCTGCATGAACTGCACTTCACGTCGCTGGAAGACAGGAGATCTGGGAGACATGATCACCACATACAAAATTCTCAGGGGAATTGACAGGGTAGACAAGGATGGATTATTTAACACGAGTGGTACATGGACAAGGGAACAGATGGAAGCCGAGTACCCAAATGAGCCACAGAGACATTAGAAAGAACTTTTTCATTGTCAGTAGTAAGTAAATGGAAAGCATTAGGCAGTGATGTGGTGGAGGCTGACTCCATACACAGTTTCAAATGAAGATATGATAGAACCCAGTAGGCTTAGGAACCTGTGCACCAGTTGATTGACAGTTGAAAGGCAGGACCAAAGAGTCAGAGCTCAACCGTAGACAAGCTACTCAGCAGTAGACAACCTAGGCCTCCACCACCACCACACTGACTCAAAGTTGTCACTGGTCCTGTACATCACTCCTAGACCAATATACACCCACCCACACACACACACATACACCCATATATACACCCACACATACACCCACATATACACCCACACCCAGACACCCACATATACACCCACACCCAGACACACACATACACCCACATATACACCCACACCCAGACACACACATACACCCATATATACACCCACACATACACCCACATATACACCCACACCCAGACACACACATACACCCACATATACACCCACACCCAGACACACACATACTGTACACCCATATATACACCCACACATACACCCACATATACACCCACACCCAGACACACACATAAACCCACATATACACCCACACCCAGACACACACATACACCCACATATACACCCACACCCAGACACACACATACACCCACACCCAGACACACACATACACCCACCTACACATATACACCCATACACCCACCTACACATATACACCCATACACCTACACACACCCCTACACCAACACACACATACACCCCTACACCTACACACACAATGACCAAATATCCAAATATCCCATAGCCCGCGTCCTTACATCCACACACAAGCCCCCCGGGCGACCAACAAGCATCACCATTACTCAAAATATCAAGGCCCTGGAAATTTAAACTTCTCGCCGGAACTAATTAGCGGAGCAATGAGTGAACTTTAAAACAAGAGGAAGAAGAGGAGCCGAGAACCCGGCCAATAGCAGCAACAAGTGAGGAGACCTTTCCTATTACCACATCCCTTAAATTCACCATAAATGGTATTAGTATCCCGAGATTCTTATAGACCTAATTCAAGAGTTTTCGAGTTTACTCTAATACGAGTTTTCTTCCTAGATAATTCCCACAAGGGGTGGCATGGGGGCCCCACGTGCCCAGGTGGTCCTGGCGGCTCTAAGGGGAAGGGTAAGGAAGGTCAGGGTGCCCTTTAAGGGGTCATCTAAGGGGTGTAGTGAGTGACAGGTGCTCAAAGTCACGTCGTGGGTGCGAGTTTTGCCGCTTCTTGGCCGAGTTGGCTGGCTGGGCCCACAGCCACCCCCTCTCTTAAGTCTCTCCCATTACCGCCCTCTCCCGGCCCCCCGCCCGCCTCTCACGCCCACATCGCCCACTTCTTACCTTCAACCAGCTAAAGCATCCGTTTTCGGCGAGCGCGGCACACGACGACGGTCAAAATGAAGGATTTTGACACAAATGCAGAAGTAAATATGTCCACCAGCCGAGCATAACAATGACCAGCTCCCAGATGGCAGCACCGGGCGGAGGCCTCGCGCGCGCGGTAAGTTTGAATGTGACCTTTCTTAGGACATCTTGGCTTTATCCCTTAAGAAATGTTTATGTGTATCTCTCACAATGTGCGGTGATGTGTTTATTGTTTGTGATGAGTGTTTGTATATGTATGAATATGGTGTACTGATCTGGGTGAGAACAGTTTGAGCTATCTCATCCCTTTTGTGTGTATTTTAGCTCAATAAACTTATTTCAATTTCAATCTCTTTACCTTCAATAGTCCTTCCCACCTATACCATTATTTACTGGCTATTATAAATATTATACATACTTTGTTAATACTTTTTTTCACTTAACCTTTTATACAGGGACTCTATGATTTGAAATTGGTTCTTCTATATGCCAGGCCGATTAGTGACTGTTGCTCGATATTGCTCGTTCTGAGAAAAATTATGTTATTATCTAATTAGTTTATATTATGCTGTAAACATTATTTTCGAGTTGTAGCCGCTATTGAGACATCATCGTCTCTTGAATGCACGCTTTCTTTATGCGATATAACAAAACATGCACTTAAAGCAACTCCTTCATGTCATAGTTTATGCGATCGTCTCGTTAATTTCAGGTGAATTTCATCTTATGCAGGCGATGAGTCACAATAACGTGGCTGAAGATTGTGAGACTCACAATCGACTTGAGAATGGTCCAGGACGGACTGAAACGTCGTCGTCCCTTCACCTTCTAGTGTGTGGTCTGGTCAAAATTCCATCTTATGTTGGATTCCAAATGCATTATATAGAGTCGATGAGTTGAACTAAGAATATGCCTTCAAAGAAGCCAATGACTATAACTTTGCATTGCCTATAAGCATTCTGAGAAAAATAATACTCAACACAATTATGTTGAGCTCAGCCAAAATGAAATCTACACTAGCAATTCTGTCTATAATATTACTACCAATACAAAAGAGCCACAGATCTATGGCTCATCCATTGAAATCAGCAAACTCCAAGATTTGACTACTACTACTTAGCACTGATAGCCGCCGTCTTCCTGTCCCCGTCAAGGCCCGCAGAGAGATAGTGGCAAATTCGGGTAAATAAGTATCTTTTGGAGGTTTGCATTGCCTGCCTATGTCAACCTTACAAACGCAAACTATCAGAAAAACTACAGTCACACCCTGTATATATGCGGAAAATCCACAGAGAAATGGAAAAGAGAGATGAACGTTTCGGCCGATGGGCCTTTGTCAACACCGGACTGAAAAAAATCACAAAGGAAGAGTGGAGGCAGACACTAGATCCTGACCACCATCTCCTGGGGAAAGAATTAACTAGAAAAAGGTATAGATTAGCTTAGAGTGGTCAGAAGGATTTAAGCGGTACGAAAAAAAAGATTAAAGAAAAAGCCTCATTGAGCAGACACATAAAATATATTAATATAATATTGTTATGAGACAATGTAACTCTCCCTATCATAGTTTTTTCTTAAACTGTTGTGCAATATTGTAACTTAAAACAGGGGTCAAGTTTGTACATACCAGTACTAACATTGAGAAGATTTGGACGTTGACTAATTAGGGCAGACTCAATTAAATTCCGTTCCACAAAGCCATTTCAATTGGTAATCCTTTTCGCCCCATCCCAATTAATAGTGTGATCACACAAACTTGTGTGCAGATACAAAACATTAGACGTTTGGCCAGTTCTTATACTACAAGCATGTTGGGACATACGTAATTGTAAGGATTTTCCAGTTTGTCCAAGGTACACAGACTCACAATCATTGCAGGGAATCGAATACACACAACCTGCTGTACCAGGGGAGTTTTTTATTATTAAATTAGACTTGATCGTATTATTAGTGAACACCAAATTGATATTAAGGTTCTTAAAAACTGGGGAAAGTTTCTCAAATCCCATCACATAAGGTACCACCAATGAGTTCCTAATTTCTGGTTATTATAAATTAATTATTATTATTATTATTAATTATTATAAAACGTACGTTTTATAATAATTAATAAAAGAGAGAGAGAGAGAGAGAGAGAGAGAGAGAGAGAGAGAGAGAGAGAGAGAGAGAGAGAGAGAGAGAGAGAGAGAGAGAGAGAGAGAGAGAGAGAGAGAGAGAGAGAGAGATAACGGTCGAAAGTGTTAAAGAATAATGCAAGTCTTTCTCTCAAAATTATTTACTACCAGAATGATGCTTCCATAAGCAACTTAGCTGCTGCTGCTGGTAGCATAAACTGGGGGACTGAACTCGGTAATATGACAAGCATCAACATAGCTGTGCAAGCATTTCTTCACAAAACTCTGAGCCTTCATAATACCCATTGTCCACTGCTAACGAAATAACTCACTACCAAAGGGATATATAACGTATATATTACGTATAACTCATGTTATACGTAAAGGTATTCTTACAGCTATCATGATGAATTGCATGAATACGGGGGGCGGTGCGGTATAGGATCGGGGTTATTTCCAAAGACGTGTCTAGAGGTATTCTTCGATGCAGCCTAAGATAATTACATGAGTAGGAGGGTAGAAATAGCTTAAGCTACTCTATCCCTTTGAGATGTATTTCTTTCTTGTCTCAATATACATACTTGAACTTGATTACATGAATCAAAACAAGGTACTATGAAAATAAATTTAATCAAACTGTTTAATTTAATTTAGATCTTGTATTTTTTATTGTAAGTATTTTGTATATTTAGTAATATATTTATCTGTTTCATCCAAACTTTATCTGTCTGTATAGCAAATCAATATTATTAAGTCTGTTATTTCACTTCACTCAGCTACTGAACGCAATCTAGCATAGACCAAAAATTAAACATGTTATCATGTATCTATGACACTCATCACTTTAATTATCAAAAGATGATTAAACGCTATGCGTATTAGTGGCTTTAGGTATTGTATGTACTAGCTCTATCTATAAATCCAACAGTATATTTGTAACTCTGCATCCATGCACGTACTTTTCCTAAATAAAATATTATTATTATTATTATTATAGATCTCTACGCGAACACTTTGATGACATTAGTGTCTTAATCTAATCACAGAACAAACAATTATCCTTAATTATGCTGACGTTAACATGACTAACAGAAAACACAACTCAGCCCTTTAACTTACCAAACTACTCAGAATCTCCAGCTGTAGACGACGCCAAAGAGAAGGCGATACTGTAATCCACTACCACCAGGAACTGTCAATCTCATCTGTTATTAGAATCAGACACACTTGTGGCGAGTATATCTTCAGAGTCCAAGTCAGAGCCATGGGTGCTGAGGCAAACTTAGCTGTGGGAGCAGTGTACAAGATTCCTATCATAGATGTAACTGAATTTAACTCTAACCTGAGAAATTTAATATTGAGCAACGAAAATGTGCAAAAAATTAGCTAATACCATCAAGCTATTTTTAATATTCTGCCAGCCTGATAATATTTGCTAGTTTCATCAACTATGTGAACTCCTACATGCTAATAATACCCATTTTTTTTTTAATACAAGAGTTCTTACATTCTTGTACAGCCACTAGCACGCATAGCGTTTCGGACAGGTCCTTAATCCCATATTCCCTGGAATATGACCCGCCAAATCGTTTAACAACCAGGTACCCATTTACTGCTGGGTGAACAGAGGCTACAGTTAAGGACTGGCGCCCAGTCAATCCTCCCCGGCCAAGATACGAACCCAGGCCAAAGGAGAATAACTGAAACGACTGCCTCTACTCTTGACCACTTCCGGACAAACATAACCTCTCCAATAATCAAGGAATTTTGATTTTTCCCAAGTTTACAATTGGAACAGTATATCATGCAAAATGTGGATTGGTATATTTTGTGCATATGTCTCACCGTCGATATAGATTTATAATATCCATTTGGAAGATTGATTGATAACCAGGAGTATTTATTAGCAACTACATAGGTATAAAGAAAAATATTGCACAGATGTAGATTATATTTATGGTGTGAATGTAAGCCTTGGAGCTGGTATAATCACTCTACCTTATAATCACTAGGAGTAAACAAACACTCACCATATTAAACCTCAGAATTGTCTTACTAAAGCCTATTATATTTCACAGGAATTTAAGTTAGCCTATATAATAAATTCACGATGTAATTATTTTTGACCTTGAAATGATGGAATATTTGGAGGCTCGTAGCCTTCCTTATCAATAACCACGGGCCAGATTCACGAAAGCACTTACGAACCTGTAAATCTTTTCTCAATCTTTGGCGGCTTTGTTTCCAATTATTAAACAGTTTACAAGCATGAAAACTTCCCAATCAACTGTTGTTATTGTTATAAACAGCCTCCTGGTGCTTCGGAGCTCATTAACTGTTTAATAATTGGAGACAAAGCCGCCAAAGATTGTGAAAAGATGTACAGGTTCGTAAGTGCTTGCGTAAGTGCTTTCGTGAATCTGGCCCGCACGACACTTCCTCTTCCTAAGTCTTAACTGCTCTGATACGATTGAAAGTAATGAGCCGCTAAGTAAATTAGTGATTTCCTCAACCACTCCGTGAAATAAAATATAAATATTCCCTTCAATAAAATACATCCGACTGCAAAATTTCCAATAACTGCCATGTTCGCGATCCCAAGTTCTTGATATACTGATACTCACAGAATAAATTTTCTTGCTCAAAGGGGGTTAAATTCGTAAATCCTCGCGATGAATTGTAAATTTGTTAATTTCAATAATTTATTGATAACATGCAAGATTAATTTACCAATACCTAATTAGCATCATTCATCATTCAAGGGCCTTGCGAAACATACATATATAGAAAGGTAGACACGCATGGTACTGAGGTAGTTACCATAATATGAATTAGGCTATGCTTATCTGAAAGCAAACGAGGAGTTATTAATCGTTACAAGTGGATTATCCCAGCCATAGCAAGCAGACGACCTCAAATTGCTGTCAACCTGAGGGGCCACCACATTAGTACCCTCACACCATAACTACGGGCTCACCATAGCCCGTGCTGCTTGGAAC